GATATATATATATATATATATTAAATATACATATATCATTATCATATCATTAGTTTATAATGGGTAAAAATCAATTTTCACAATAATATTATATATTTTAAGTCGTTACTTAATTTACTATTACTTACAGCTCCTAAAAACAGATGAATCTGCTTGTAGAATAGGACGAGCAATATCTCGACTTTTATTGTAATTCTATACTAATAATTATTTGTTTTCATTAAATTATAACCTTAGAATAGTTCCAATTTTAATTAGGTACTAGACGTCGTGATCAAAGTGATCAAAGTTCCCAATCAATAGTATTGAGGTGAAACAAATCAGTATCTACTCATTAAAGGGCTTTTACTATATACCATAAAAACAATTTAACAGTTATGCTTATTGAAAACAAATACAAATTATACCACTATTTAACCAATTTCATTAAATAAACGTTTATGATGATCACAATGAGGCTTAAGCCAATGAGTAATAAATCCGACGAAATTATTATACTCCCCTGAAAATATATTTAATATTATTCAAATATAATAAAAGATACAGTTTATAACATCAGTGTTTTTTATTTATATCTTAAATTAATTGAAGAAATAGTTATGACAACTATAAATAAGATCAATCTTATCCAAGTTTACCTATGTCATTTCTCATTTGCAGCAAATAAAAAAAAAATTAAAACCATCACAATTTAAAGTAGGTAGCCTTATAGATTCCTGCTTGGTTTGTATAAATTTATTAAATGTTATAAAGGAATAATGTCTTCTTTTAAATGACCCAGTTATTAAAGACTGTCACTGCATACTTCTTATAAGTCGTCATTTGACATGAAGAAAGGTTTCACATCTCAAGAAAAACACTTCGGAGTTACTACCTAACAAACTTAATCTTTCCTTTAATGTAGTTTTTACATAACTAATTACATAATTAAATAGTATTAATTGCAAATTATGCAGATAGCACCATTAATAGGTTATTACTTAATATAAATATATTACTATGTAAGCCTGATATTGTTTTAACTCTATTCTATTTTTTAATTCCGTGATTTTCTGAATTCTTAAATACTGCTATGTTCGTATTGATCTAGTTTTCATTTTATTAATACAAATTAAAACAATTATTTAACTAGGTAAAATGCAACCTCTACCTATCATGTGTCATATAAGTACTAAAGAAACGTAAGTTAAATTATCATCTTTATTTAAAAAAGAGATCTTGCAAAAGCCGTATTCGTAACTTAAATTGTTGTCCTATTTGAAATAGAAAGGATTCTTTAGTACCCCTTCCACTATGCTGCAACACTATGCAATAGTAAGCCCGGTATACCACTCACGTGTTTAGTTTCGAGAATATGTTCGGTCGTGGTGGTTGTTGCTGTAGACTGTTAAAATGTGTTTCTGGAAATTAGTGTTATCTGAAGTAGTAAAAAATTTGATACGTCTTCTTAATGTAAGTTCCATTCTTATTGTTATTTTCTATTTAACATAAGGTTGAACCATTTTTAAAATACAAATACAGCATTGATTATTGCTGTTTTGCAAATATGTATGTAGAAAGTTATTATTAAGTGCATTTTGGTAAATATGAAGTCATCTTTACTTTAATTTTTTGAAATATAATATGTCAAGAAAGATGGTAAGCGTAAATAAATTAGATTTGTGGAATATTTATGATAGAGAGTTTAGTTGACGGATAGACAGTTTTATCATTTCATTTCGCACTACAATATCTAATACCACCTTGGTTTTTACGGGATGAATGTAACTCAAGGTATAAATCTACCTGAACAAAAATTGTACCCGTACGTAGATTAGATCTGTGCAATATAAATACCACGTGGAATATCTAAGACATAAAAAATATAATTGTTGAGTAAACAGTTATTCTATTTCATTCGTGCTACACTACCTAATACTACCTTGGTTATTACGGGATGGGTATAATCCCAAGGTATAAAATTAGCTAACTTAACAAAAATAGCGACCTTAAGTAGATTAAGTCTATGCAATACAAATACCACGTGGAAAATCTATGATACAAAGATGTAGTTTTAAATGGTTTAATTGTCGGTTAGACAGTAATTCCATCTCAATTATTACTGCAGTGCCTAATACCACTTTGGTTTTTCCGGTATGGATGTAACCCCAAGGTATAAAATAATCTACCTGTACAAAAATTATAACCGTACGTAGATTATATCTGTGTAAGTAATACAAATACAACGTGGAACATCTATGATAAAAAAATCAAGTTGTAAAGAGTTTAGTTGTTGAGTAGACAGTCACTCTAGTTCATTTGTACTACACTACCTAATATTACGTTGGTTTTTACGGGATGGGTATAATCCCAAGGTATATAATAAGCTACCTTAACAAAAATAGCGACCTTAAGTTGATTAAGTCTATGCAATACAAATACCAAGTGGAATATCTATGAAACAAATATCTAGTTTTAAATAGTTTGTCGGTTAGACAGTTATTCCATCTCAATTATTACTTTTGGTTTATCCGGGATAGATGTAACCCCAAGGTATAAAATAATCTACCTGAACAAAAATTATAACCGTACGTACATTATGTATGTGTAGGTAATACAAATACAACGTGAAATTGAATATTAAAAATATCGATTTGTAAAGAGTTTAGTTGTCAACTAGGCAGTTATTCTATTTCATTCATACTACACTATCTAATACCGCCTTGGTTTTTCTGGGATGGGTATAGTGTGCTTAGTAGATTAGTCCTGTGCAATATAAATACCACGTGGAATATCTATGATACAAAAAATCTAGTTTTAAATGGTTTAATTGTCGGTTAGACAGTTCTCCCATCTCAATTCTTATTGCAATGTTTAATACCACTTTGGTTTTCCGGGATTTGTGCAATACAAATAGCACGTAGAATATCTATGATATAAAAAATTGAGTTGTAATGATAAATATATGTTATGCAATAAACAATCATGGTTTTGTAAACGTTGGTTTGAGGTGGCACTTGAGTACGCACTTGTTGTTTCTTGGGGGAGGGGGGCCCACACAAGACCACATTTCGCAACACCACAACAGAGGTAACAAAACAATAATTCTTAAAACTTTTGATTTGTTAACCACGTTCAAATTCATTATCAGTAAAAAAAGAAAGGAAAATGGTAAGAATTGTAGATTCGTAAATGTTACCATTGCATACATGTAACAGATTTCAATAAACTTTCATTAATATGGTACATAAAAAATAAATAACAAAAAAACTTAAATCTTTATTGATAACGAAAGAATATAAAAAATATTTACAATTCTATTTAAAACGATTAATAGAAACGGAACAAAAAGATCACTTCTTAATACTTTCAGCATCATTATTAGCTTTGTTTTTCCTACTGCTGTACCACATTTCAATACTCCAAGCTATCGCTGTAGTATATGTCATGATATTTAACAAATGCAACGTTATCACATAATTTTTAACCAAATCTCTTACCCAACCTAAAAGAAATTTTAAATTTAAATTTTTGATTACGATTATACTATAATTCATGTAGGAACAAATATCGGCTGTAGTTCTAGAATGGGACATGTTCCGATAGGCTTCAAATTTTTACCACACTACTTTATGGACTAGATAATACCTAAAAGTATTTTCGGCAACTCGAACCGGAGGGGTAATAATGCATCATTGAGGTTACAAATTATATGCATAGGTTAAACATGTTTACACAGCAGAATGATGAATTGTCCAATAGTTAGCGTATAAATACTTAATCGAATATTTGGGAGAAAGGAGAACTGTTAATTATTTTCACTTATCATAACACAACCCTCAGAATTTCACCTTTTGGGATACCACTCTACCCCTTCGTCATGTTAAGTCACACTTTTAGCAACTCCCCTAACAAATATTACGTCACAATAGCTAACCCCCCACCATATAAACAAATACTAGTAATGAGAACAATTTTCTATTATAAATTAAGAACTGCCAAGTTAGAAAACCATTAAAATAAAATTGATGAACTGCAAACGTCACATTTCCTTAGGCCCCCTTTCCTCGTGTCATATCGTCACGTTAAGCAGTACCCCACCCCTCCCCTAATTGTAAATGTGTTTTACGAATGATCCCTTAGGATTTGTAAATTTTCTCCTCCCTCCATTTTATTTATAGAATCGGGTATATTCCTCTAAACGACAGTATTTGGTAAAAATGTGAGCCAATACTATTCCAAAAATGCATTTTAAGCTACCATCGCGAAGAAAGGGAATTTTTTTGCTGCTTCCGGTTCGAGTCGCCAAAAATGTTTTAAGGAAGTACCCTTAATATAAATACATTAACGAACAGAAAATTATGAAAATTTGCAGATATGTCGAACCTTTTTCAAAAATGACTCAGTTAAATTTTTGTGATCTTTGGTTGACATTGAAAAATGATATTGTTAATTTTATTTCACTGCACTTAACATGGAATCTTATGGGAAATTGTAATTTTGACGTACTCTATAATTTATTACGTTGGAATTGACAAACAGATTTTGATAAAATTTTGGGTAAATATAAGCGAATATTCTATGAACCTTTTTCTTTTTCCAAAACTTATAAAGCATACTTATGTTAACAGAAATAATTAAAAAAGCCGAGATTTTTCAGCAATTCATAAACATGGCAACACTGCGATATTATAGTTTTGAATTTGACAAATATATATGGACACCGCGTGCTATTCTATGCCGAATACATAAGCATTATACTTGTAAGTCGGTACGTACACTATGACAAGGAATGCGGTGTTGCCAAATTAAGTACTACGTTACTCAAGTAGAAGACTGAAATTCTTTGACTTGATGCGTATCGAGGATACTTCCTTAAGTGTCATCATCTAGAGATCTAGCTCATAAAAATTTGAAGTCAATCAAAGAGTGCCCCTTATAGTAACTCCAACCAAAACATTTACATCTACTGTATTAACAAAAACTTGGACCTTTTTTATTATTAAGAAATTATCACAAACAGAACTTTTCAATAGTAAGATATAGAAGTAAGTTTAATTGTAATTGTAAACCACTTACCTATAATGGGACCAACAAATAAAAATAACAGTCCAGCTGTAGCTAGCTGTAGTCCTGAAGCAGCCGGTAGTCTTTCTAGAGGAACATGACTTGGTATTACTAAGGCCATAAACACTGTTCTCAGGCCTTTTCCACAACCAATTAAGGCAGCAACAAATAACGAAACGTAAAACGTTCGAGTATGCACCAATACTGCAAAAAACAAAAAATATAAACACTTCGTGCCAACTAAGAATCGTGTAATCATTTATTTTGGTGTAAATAAGAAATGATTACAATTTTAATTAAATCAAAGTCTGTTGGTGATGCTTAATGAAGTACGTGCATTAAGGAATATTTACGCTAAACGCATAAGAAATAGAGTACGAAACTCAAAAATAAATGCAAATGACAGTCGATCATACCTTTTGATGTACATTAAGTTAAAAAAAATGGAAAATAAAGTGGGAGCGAAACGTAATTTTAATAACGTTGTAATATTCGATGTAGGATAATTTCGGGATTTTTTTTAAGATATTCCTTGAATTTCGAGGAAGGTTCTTATGAAGAGAAAAATTGGAAAAATTACCCAGAAAAACGTAAAAACCAAATTTAAACTGTTCCTAGCTGTCAATTGACATTTTATTTGTGGTTGAATTTACTTGAAACACGGTATTTATGCTCTTCGACATAATAAATCAAATGAAAAGAGGTTGAAACGTTTTCATGGGTAAGGTTATACTCATTGTTGAAATTAAGCAAACGCGTGTTTTGGCAATTGTTAAAAATCAACCCTTAAGGATGAAATGTTGTCGTTACGTTACGTATTCGAAATCTAAGATGGCGACATTACATAAAATTAAAACTTGGGGGGGGGTGAATTGGGAGCTAAAAGGTTTAATGGAGAAACAATTTTAATTTCTGCGAGCGAAGCCGCGGAGAAAAGCTATTATTATTATTAGTAAAGTAAAGGAAAGGAAAGCACATGCTGTACCACATTTCAATACTCCAAGCTATCGCTGTAGTATATGTCATGATATTTNTTTGCATTATTATAAATCAAAAATATATGAATTAAACCATTTCTTTTCGAACAGTCAAATTATAAGTTCATAGTGGCCAGCATTCTGTCGAAACTGCCAGACGCGGATCGCGATTTCATTCTTGTTGGATCTCATCAGCGTGTCGCAAGGAGTTTCGGCAGAATATAGACACCTCAAACAGCGTCTCGAGGCAACAGGTAGAGTTGGTCTCTGTTCCGTCGCGCTAATGAGATCCAACAAGATCGAAATCGCGATCCGCGTCTGGCGATAGAACGCTGATCACAATGAACTTATTATTTATTTAATTTTGTTGCGTGCCTACAACGTAGGGTTGGAAGTATTCACTACACCATTTGTGGTATTTCTTTTAGAACGGTAGTGTGTTATATGATTTCTATAAAGTGATTTTAATATAAGAATTTTAATAAAAAGTTCTGTGTCAGCAATTTATTCCGGTTTCGGAGTTATTAGACCCCATCAGTACGCCATAGACCGTTTTGATGATTAAGCGACCAAATCAAAGTTGTTCCTTAAAATTTGCTGCTAACAAGGCTTTAAAAAGGTACCTACTTTGACAAATAGTGATAGGCAAGTAACCAAGCTAAAGAATATTAAGTTATTGGTCAGTAACTACCTGATGTAGATCGCAATTTCAGACTTATTAGACCACATCGCACGTTGTAGACGAAAACGAAAATGAAATACTACCGTTAACAGCGAGGCATTATTTATTTTGTGTTTTTACTTACTTATTCTTCCAAATGCCATACTGAGAACTCCTACTAAGAAAAACGTCTTATTGTCCCAGCCAATTTTATCAGCAATAAAAGGCACAAAGAAACGCACTAAAATATCAGTTGCTCCTAGCAAAGACATAAATGTTGCCGTCTGGTATTGTTGGAAATTAAACTCTTCCAGTACAAATGGCGTCAATATTGAAAAATTTATTTCGGCAAAGTTAGCAATTGTTATTCCAAGCATAAGGGTTAAGTATATGGGGTCTTTTAGAAGACCCAAGTCAAAGAATATAACAATTTTGTCAAGTATGGTTAATTTTTCAGGTTCGGGCTCTTGGGTCATTTTAATTTCAACAGTTCCATTGGTGTGTTTGTCTTGTTCTTCATTGACTCGTTCTTCTTCATTCTGTTTATACTCTTGGAGGCGTTTGGCTGCAGTTTTTAGCACATCCTTTTCGTTGGGATACGCCCCAGTTTGTTGTACTTGCTGTGTTATGAGCTGTTTTTCTTCTTCTTTTAAATCTTGTGGAGCTTTTTCTAAAGGACTGTCTTCTGCTAAGGATTCTTCGATTTTTGGTCGGGGCTGAGAGGTTTTTCTTCGTCTTTCTTTGTTTTCCGCTAAATTAACTGACGAGTTTCTCTTAGATCTTGCATCTGCTAAGTTACTGTAAGACGCTCGTGAGACGGCTATTGAATTTTGACCTGAAGTTTTCTTTGAACCCGGTTTTGAAGCTTTCGCTGAAGAAAGTGACGTCCTAGAGCCAACCAAGCTGCTGCTTCTGGAGTACCATCCATCGTTAGATCGTACCATGCATGGCGTTCCTGGTTCTGTTATTTCATAACCGGGCTTATTAGGATCATCTTCATTACGTAAATATTTAGCAGAAAGTAAACTTCTATTTTTTTTCAGTTTTTTTACTTCATTATTTGTAGTTATTTCTTCTATTGGTTCTAGTAAAGGTTTTTCAGATTCAGTCGGCTCCTAAAACATATAACATCACAGTCAAAATGAGGAGGTAACTGAACACGCACTTTGGTTTTATAAAATCTAAAAGTAAAAAGGTCAAGAAGAGTTAGTTAGAGACATATTAGAGGCAAAAACAGGAATTAAAAGATAAAAAATAAGCTGAAGATAGGAAGAAATGGACATGTGTATCCATCTATTCTTCGGACTGAAGATCTCATGATGATGATAAACTAAATGATGCAAAAAAAATAAGCTCGTGCTGATTTACAATTTTTTAACTTCAAAACTTATTTTCTCGAAGACCACCTCGTAAAGGAAAATTCGTGTAGAATTAACAAATTGTAATCACAAGAAATCGTTTATAAGAGTGTGGGGTAGCTTTTGTGACTAATATCTGTTAGGGAGTCGCTGAAAGTGTGATTTAGTGTGACCAAGCAGTAGGGAGGACCCCATTAAGGTGAAATTCTGAGTGATATATTTTATGGACGGTCCGTAGAAGACTTACGTAAAGGTACCTCCTATCAAGTCAATTTAATTTTCAATAAACACCAATCTATGTAATTATATACGTGAGTGTGTTAACCAGTAATCCTTGAGGAAATAGAATTAACATTTACAGATTACGCTTCACTTGTATAATAGTTTTCGATAATAAACACCGCTGCTTTTTTCTTTAGAATTGAAAAACAAATTGTACGATAAGCAGAGGTGCATTTAAACACGTAGTATAATTGATAGATTGATTCAGTGACCCTCGGAGAATTACCCATATTTGCCTTGCAATGTAAAAAATACGTTCTAATCTGCGCCTTTTTATGCTGCACATCAGGTCATAGATTGGATGTGATAGTACCCGTGACTGAACACCCGCCGACGGAATCATTAGCTTAAATTAGGTTATGATACGGTAGATGCTATTGATTTTTAAGATGATGTTTGGCCCATCGACGTTTACTAATGGACATGCCTTAGCGGTCAGAATTGTGGTACAACAAAAGAAAGAGATAGAACGAAGTTTCTGACAATATCCGTCTCTCTCACGATACTGCGTAAGCGTGTCATAAAAGAGATAGCACTAGTCCGTAACCATATGCCATCTTCATCACTTTTCGAACCAAGAAATTATTACAAGAAAGTGCTATAATTCAGGTTAGGTTAGGCTATAATATAGTATGGGGAGATTGTCATGCTAAGTACCATTAACAATAGTAACCAACGTTACAATACCTCTCTAAATTTGGTGTGCCAGTGGACTGGTTGTAGCAACAAGGAACATACGATTGCATGACCAGCAAATGCCGCAAAAATTAGCAAAGTACCCTCCATACCGCATACGTTCATCAGCGCTGTGATAATGTACGGCCACACAATTGGCCCCAGACCAGTTGTTGTCCATGATAGGCCTGTCGCTATTCGCCTTTTGTTTTTAAAATATGTATTTAAAGCTACTGCATTAGCCGATTGTGTGACTCCTATTCCAGTACCTGCAAGTGAAATTAATAAACAATTGAAAAGTGTAATTTATAAACCATGGGTGGACAAACTTAATACTGGTATGATCGACATTAATTTGTCTTACGATATATATAGGCGATCGACTTCGGTATTTACTAATAATATTACCAATGTAAATGATTTTGTTTTGTAGGCATAAGAAAATTTTTTTGTAGTAAGAAAAAACGTATAAAAATATTTACAAAATTTAGGAAATAATAAGTATCAACATTAATGTAATATTCGTGAAAATACCCATGTAAATTTTTCGAGGAAATTCTTAATACCTTTTCAAATATTAGTATTATTTATTGTCATTTTATTTAATTGCATTCTTTTGGGCTTTTTTTTCTCATTTCAAATACTAATATTCTTTAAAATTCACCATTTAAATTAGACCACGCATCAACCAAAAGAAAGGATACTTTCAAAATTAACCAAATTATTTCACTTCAATTACCAATGAATATGTATACGTGATTATTAGTATTTCTCGAATTGTCCTTTTATAATGTATATGAATTAAAAAGAATGTTTAATATGTCATGTTTTTTATTGTTTTAAACAGTTTAAAATACTTTAATTTAAAACATATTTTATTTAGACTGTTTTGAATACTGTTTAAAACAATTTGTTTTAAACATGTCAACTCTATTCAAAAGTATTCAGTAGAGTAAAAGAAATAGCAGGGAATCGAAGCACTGTTTGGAAATTAGTCCTGTCAATTGTAGAATAGATACATGTTTAATTTTAAATTCATGTTTCATCGTCTGCTAACTTTTTAGTACACATTTTAAATTAAAACATTCGAAAATTAACCCAGTAAATTATTTAAAATGTCTGCGATTTACTGGGGAACTGTTCGTGATCGACCTTTTTGCGCACCCCTTTTCCTTAAATGACTTAAGTGTCATTGCTTTACTAAATAAGTAGGTACTTACCATATAATATGGCATAAAATATTATGTACGTTGGAAATGATCGGCACCATCTTACTAAAAAAAGTGAAACTGCGACTAGTGTTGCCCCTGAGAAAGCGATTTGTCTGTAGGAAAAAAACTTAAACAGAGGTCCATTTAAAAGACCTGAAAAACAGGTTATAATTAGACTAAAATATGGAAATAAATAATTGCTGTCATATAACATAAATATTATTATTATCTTGTAATCTGAGATAAGCGGTTTCTATTTTGAGTGTTTTATTTTTTTCTATTAATTTTCACACATACGTAGGTACGTAATTCTGGAGTTATTAAAATGCTTAAAAAGCAAACTTTTAATTTTACATTGTTTATTGTGTGCCACAGTCAAGGTTAGATATTAATAATAATAGAAAATCACCGTGAAAAGTATAAAAGCATTACCTAGTTATACATGTTTGACACACAGTTTTTGTACAAGTACAGTACAATCAGATTTTTTTTATATAAAATAGAAGTTTAGAATGCTTAAATAACATTACAGATTGACATACAAGCACTTTTGCCATATAATATCACGTATTTATTAAAAATACTTCATTCATTTAAAAATTCTCATTAGACCGCGGTGAAATCCCAAACGTTTTTAGAGGAAATACAAGCGCTCGTCGACTTTTTGGGTAAACGGTAAATCGGTTTTCAAATAATTATGATTTTAATAATCGATATTTCAAGTTTTTTGAAAATTGGCTTATATGTTAAGATAAAATTTGCCTTAACTATTTATTTTTATTAAAAATATTTAGATTCACTTTTCACCTTATTTTTAAGTATACGTATATATCTGTACAGTGGAATTCGTTAATTATGACTCCGCCTGTATTGACCTATCGCATAATATGAAATAATTGCAGTGTTAAGTTTGGTTTTCATATTAAATTCTCTATAGGAAAATTTGAATATAATGAGTCCATTTAAAGTGACATATCGTTTATTATGACTGATTCTCAAGAAATCATATCCGGTTATAGTGACCCAAATGATAATATTTTCGCTCATTTTTCCGACCCTTCTTATGTATCATCATCATCATCATAAAGTCGTCAGTCCTAAGACTGGTTAAGCACGCACCTCCACTCTTTCCTATCCTGAGTTAAACTTCGCATTTGACTAAAACTAGAACAGCCCACATCCTTCACTATTTGCGAACAGTAATCTAATCTAGGTCTACCTCTACCCCTCCTAACTCCTGTTTCTGCCTTTAATACGTCTCTGACTAGACCTTCATGCCTGAGAAGGTTTCCTACCAACCTATCTCGCCCATTTTTTATTGACTTCCATAGAGTCCTCTGTTCTCCTATTCTTTCCAATACCTCTTCATTTCTAACCTTTTCTACCCACGATATCCTCATCATCCGCCTATAACACCACATTTCGAACGCTTCTAACCTTTTCTTTTCCGCCGCTCCCACTGTCCATGTTTCGCACCCGTACAACGCCGTGCTCCAAACATACACCTTTAACAACCTTTTTCGAATTTCTAAATTAACCGTTCGCGAGCATAGAAGTGACTTCTTTTTATTAAAGGCGACACGACCCTGCGCTATCCTCTGCTTTATATCCCTACTACTCCTTCCATCCTCACTTATCTGACTTTCTAATCAGCCACTTTTTCTAATTTTTCGTCTCCCTATCTTTATATTCGCTCTTTCCCTACTTTTTCTTCTCTTGCATATCAGTATTTTAGTTTTACTTTTATTTATTTTCATACAGTACTGATCAGTCAGTACCGCTTATGTATATTGATATTATAATTCATCGTTCTTATTCTTTTTCTGTTAATAAATTTATACAATTTGTAGTTTTTCTCTCTATTAAACTAAATAACTAACCAAAATAGAAAGTTGTTTATTTTCTAAGACTATACTTTGCATGATGCCCGTTCAGTATTACGAGTTTTTCATTTTCCTTCGATGTCATTATAAGCGGATTCTATTGTATATCGTAATTTTGAATCACTTTAAAAGAATGATCGAGCATTTATTCAAAACATTTTATGATGTGGTCGATAATCGGTTACCTTTAATGTTGTGTTATCAGTATGTTCTTGTAAAGGTGTTAAAGCTTGCATACATATTATTAAAGCTCATAAATGTGATATCGCAATCATTTGCCAAACAGATTTTATTAATGGAATGTCTGTGTTTGAAGGTTGTTTCAAATTGTTTTATGTTATGAACTTATTTACGACTTTTTTATTGTTAATAAAAAATATTTGTGGCCACTCCTGATACATCATTCAGTTCAAAATAAAATTGTTCCATTCGCGAAAATTATTAATTTTACTCAGGGTCGAATCTATATCCAGTGATAGGGGCGACTGCCCTCCTCCTGAGACTTTACCTCAGAGAGTAGTGCTCTTGAATGCATCCAAATGCCCACGAAATTCAAATACCCAATAATCTAAGCGACAGAAACCCCGTAGCCTATAACCTAAGTATTTTTAAACCCCTTAGTCCATTAATCTAAATCATAAACACCACCGTAAGCCTATAAACTAAACTTTTTAAGCCCCTTATAACGTAAGGTTCTTAAACATTATAACTGGGTTTAACTATCCAACGCGTTTAGCAGTACATACCGTAAGCCCTCTGGCTATTTATTTACGTATCAGTTAAGTATCTAAAAATGTTGACCACTACGCTCCGAGTAACTGGGTTTAAAAAGTATTTATTACAGGATCACGGGGTTTAATAAGTTCCGTTCTTTCACGTCGCATTTTCCGAAATAATCACTTTCCTTCAATGTTTTGCTAATGATTATTAAACAATATCGGCAAAAGCCCTATTTGTATAAATTATAGGTAAAGGTCTAGATGATGGATGATAGGTGGGGGGGGGTCGAAAGAGGAGGTCTCCCCCACCACTGTACTATAAAAAGTTCGTGGCGGTTTCACCCCCCATAAAAAGTTATGGGGGTTCAAAATTAATAAATATGCCAACTTTTATACATTTCTAGGCATGTAAATATTTATATAGTCATTCATAAACAATAATCCAAGGTAAAACTAATGAAAAATACAAAAAAATATTGAGAAAGTTATATAAAACATTATTTAAATATCTTTATCAATAG